GAACACTGTCATAATAAAAGATGCACATCCCAGTTGAAATGTTGAAGCCCATTCCTCTTCTATATATACAAAGCATTAAGTTTCGCCTACAGGATGAAGCATATAGATAGACAGATGCTTGGGCGATGAGCGGTCCACTGGGCCCGTTGTTGGCAGGCCTAGCCATGGACACGATTGAGGAGAAAGCAGAAGGAGCCACAGGGTCGGTGATCCTATGCAAGCGTCATGTGGACGGTGCACCGCTAATCATGGAGTTATGTCAGCACAACTAAGACACTCAAAGATACGCACGGCAACTGTTTTGCATACTCATGCTTGCTGCGCACAACGCGATTATACGGTTCGATGTAGAGGTCACTGTAATGGAAAACTATCTAGGTAAGTCATCATTTACAGTTTAACGGATTTTCGCTGATACAACACAAACGATCTCTCGCCCGAGCACTGTTCTATCAAATTCAAAAGAGTGGCACTACAGACATAGTATGATGCAATTGTCATCCGTTGCAATTCATGAAGCATATTACAGGGGACACAACCATCGAGATTGGATGACAAAAATCCATAAGAAACCAACATTTAATGAGCTGCCGTGCAAAGGTGGTCGGGAAACAGATTGCCGCTTCGTAGAAAAAGCAATACAATGGAGCAGAACTGTGGTTGTTTATGTTGCCGAGGCAGCGCCTATCCCTTTGTCCATACAAATGCCCTCTTAGTTGTGGAGAGATACGCTGAGAGCGTCAATCGGGTTGGGTATTATAATCGATGGGTACGTTCCCAAGTGATTATGAAGGTAAAAGGGATCCTCGGCGGTGTGACCGGGTAAACCAAGAAATGCAGCTACCTCTGCAACTACAAAACATGTACTGAACACTATTTACTACGCCACTCCTCTTGTGTGGAGTCAAAAGCCTCACATTATCAATCCAGAGTGGCCACCGTCGTGCGTATGAAAGCAACTGATTGTGGCGATTAACCTGCCGTGATGGCGCGAATCAAGTCGAGTGGCTGCCGAATAACAACCACTCGACCTCAGTGACTTTGTTAAGTGATGTTTGTGGGTGGAATGCACGAAATGACTGTTACCTCACAATTTGTCTTTCGATATTCACGTTTACGAATATGCTGCTTCAAATGACCAGAGAAGCGAAGTTCGGTGGATCAAACCAACTGTCCCACTTCGCTAGAAGGATGGCAATAAGACCCCATGCAAACAGTAGTCGCTCAGACATGCCGTAGAAGTGTACACAGCTATTGGCAGATAAACTGGTGTTATATCATTTCCAGAGGTGGCCGAGAGTTCAAAAGACCCTAGACCTTAACCAAATCGCGAAATAGTATGTTGTTAAGTTTGACTTTTAGGAATGCCTCGATCGCTTGAAGTAAAGTACAGTATACACTAATTGTGTAGCTAAGTGGTGCTTGCTCATGAGTTAGGTTTGATCTTAATAGGGTTACACCGTCATATATTGTGAATTTCACCAAGGCAGAGAGATGTAGGGGTTGCGACAAACCAACACTTCGTGTGATCTCTTTGGCTGCAACGCAATGCGGGCATACACGAAACACGCACATAGGTTTGTAGGACTATTGAGTAGTAGGAAGTATGTTAAGTTTTGGTGAAGATTCGTCACAGCTAGACACAAGAAGACAGGAAAGCGCTAAAGGCCGTTTCGTCCTATTGGGACTCGTGTGTAGTAGCTGTGTGCCCGAGTCTAACTGCGGTGAATCTTTACCAAAATATGTAGGACTAATTGTAACATGGATAGGCTCTAACGGTGTTTCATGAATACTGCATTTGCGAAACGATTAAAGATTCAGTGTTTCAAGCATCATGAGTGCGTCAATTGATCCCCATGTAGAAACAAAAGAAGTCGCCTTGTCAGATGTTGTCCTCTCGCAACATCGCACTACACGACCGGTTTGGTACTTAGTTGCACTCGTCGATAGCAGGACCGCGCTCGAATCCTGGATCTTAAGGATGCTAGCCGAGTTGTTTACTGCAATGAGAAGCGTTTTCCGCCTCGACACGTTTGACGTCACCTTTGGTCACCCGGTTACCGAATTCGAAAGAGAGCCAGACACAAAAAGGCGACTAGTGCTTGGCGTCCTTACCAACAGAGCTGAACTTTTAGTTTCAAAAAGTGAATCGGACAAATAGACAGCGACAAGGGAGGAGGAATGGTGCGCCAAAAAGCTAACTACTCAACTCACTTATATTTGGTACCCGTGCGAACGTGCGGATCACGCTTGCATCGATAGATAGTTGGGTCACGGAGGGCGCCATTGTTCGAATTCATGTCGATTTTGGCTCGAACACAGCATTGTAAACCGAAATCGGTACCCCTCTTCATTTCATCCCACCATGCTAAATTCTGCTCTACAGCTAAAAATGAAGAGATAAAATAAAACTATTAAGCAGCCCAGTGAATGAATAAGATCGCAGTGGTAGACGGCAAAGCGTGCGAGGTATGTAGGCAAGTAAGTGCAAACCACGGTTCAAAAGGCCTATACAGGGACAACACCATACCAAACCCTGATTAGCAAAAAGTGGTAAGTGGCTTTGCAGTGGGGAATATTTTATAACCTTTATACCTAGAGGTGTAGATGTTAACTTGTCCTCCGAGGTAGACAGTTTGTTTGAACCTAAGGACTAATTAAGAAGTGCTGCGGAAGTTTCACTGCTGATGTAGCCTGTTTTAGTGGCGAAACGTTCGCAAATTAAACAGTTCGGACTTGGAAGTGATTCAAAGAAACCTGTCGCAACTAGACTCAAGCGGACAGCTGCTACGGCCGCTTCAAACTACTAGGACTGAGCATCGCGAACATCCTTCACGAATCCCACGGGATCTGAACCCATAAATATGCGCTTATGAGACAGTTACTTAAGCCGCTAAGTAATCAATGAGGGCGGTCGATTGCCACAACTGACGACATAACGCGGCTATTCTCCACTGTCACGTACACTAGTATTGAAAAGAGGGCAACCTTGATCTCTAGAGCTACAACTTGTACAGATAAGCTGCTAATCACCTGACAGCACTAGTAACCAGCTAGAAAGGGGATGTTAGTAGGTCCGGATTTAGTAGAACTCAAGATAAACGAACAACGTTGACGAACCGAAACTAGAATGAAATCCAGTTAATTCCTCATCGTCACTCCCAACAGGCATCCTGAAGTCATGGGGGCGGAACCCAGCAGGGGTCGGCTAAGAGGCGCATCACTGAGGAGACCCAGAAGTTTGAAACGCCGGCGTCTGGTGCTTTACCAGACTAGCATAAGCCTGCTGATTTGGAGTGACGATGATGAATTAACTGAATTATAAGAAAATCCCCACTCCTACTTATCAGTAGTAGAATGAAATCGCTGCTCAGCGAGTTTCCGGATATGTGGTGGCTGTCCGATTGGGTCCGGATGCAAAGCACCATGTTAATATCCAGACTGTTCGGATATCTCTACTTTCGGTGTGGTTAAGCCAAGATAGGTGCACCAGTCATAACAAAAATGCTGTGAAGCTAACGAAGTTCCTGTAGAACACGATGCAAATGTCGTAGATAGAGGTGTGGTGCTGTGGCATAATCGTAGCCACTACCGTTGTGTACTTCCTATTCTTTAGATGCATCTACAAGTGTGTGCCCGTCTACCGCTCAAGCACCTATCGATGGAGCTAATTAAAAAAATAAATGGTCGATGAGTTGTACAACACGCCGGTTAGAATAAAAGTTGGCCATCGTTTTGATTTGCGCTACTTCAACTACGACGCAGATACTTAACTTTAGTTTGTGTGCCTCAGCGATCCATTGAGCTATGCTGGGTGGTGCTTTTGCACCTTCAGAGTCACTCATACTAGATTGGTCAATGGTTAGAAGCCAGACAAACTCAGCCTCCTGGTCCTCCAGGTTGGGGGTTGGAATGAGGGTGGCACCTTATTTCTTAAAACGGACTCCTTGTAGCCCACCGCCAAACCCGCTGCCTTGCGGTCAGGTATTTGAACCAAAGGCTTTGGTTGAGAACCTTAATCGTTCTCCTGTCTAGGCCTGGGCAACCTGACAGTATCCTGCCCACGCAACACAATGAATTTCTCTTCAAACAGTTTGTTGATGCTCTGGCCACCGCAGCGGATAATCAACGGTGCCCTATCTGTTGCATCGAGCAGGTTGGATAGGGGTTTGGATGCTACTGCTCAAGCCTTCCCGTCTTCTTATTCCCCCTTACACTTTTTCACTCTTACCGTCTCGTTCCAACTTCACTTTTATCCCCCCCCAGTTTGCAACCCCCCGATTCTTGGCCCTTCCCTAACATGCTTTGCTAGGCATTTATCTTCTAATTTCAACTCACATGTGAACGGGGAGCGTCACTCCTCTCCTGTCGACAAGCCCATGTCCAATCAAGCGGTCCATTCCAGTTCATCGGCTTGTATTTGGAGCCTTCGATCCTCCTTCAGACTGGCATGCTCCAATGTACGCACATTACTACAGATCGGTCAACATGCAGCACTTGCCCGAACATTACAGACCCTCTCGATCGATATCTGCTGCTTATCGGAGACCCGCCTGCAAGACTCGAGCTCTGCGCTCACTCTGCGATCCCCTTCAGGTGACGCAAGTAGTGTTTTCTCACTGCACCTATCCGGTGACGGTGCAGCTTCGAGCATCGGCCAAGCTGGTGTTGGCATTTCCCTGAGTCCCCGGGCTGAAGCTACTCTGGTTGATTGGATTCCAATCAGTAGCCTGTGTGCGGTCCGATTGGCTGGCTAGTTCAAAGCTTCGAAGTTGCGCGGGACTAATAGGTGTCTATTCATCATCGCTACCTACGCGCCCACAAACTGTAGCGATGATTCGGTAAAGAACAACTTTTACCGCCAACTGACCCAGCTCCTTCACCATAGAAGAAGCACGGACACTGTTGTCCTGGCTGGGGATCTGAGCGCTCAACTTGGAAAGCTGTCCACTGATGAAATGCATTTGGGCGGTCAGCACGGTGTAGGCTCCCGTAATGATAACGGTAAGCGGTTACTTCATTTGTGTGAAGATGCTCGCTTATTTCTTGCGAGCACTAATTTCCGACACAGCACCCGCCGGAGGGTGACTTGGCGCCCACCAGCCTCGAACCAATCTTGGACGCAGATCGATCACATTGCTATCAGTTACCGCTGGAGAGGCTGCGTCCGGAACTGTCGTTTGATTTGGAGCACATGTGTGGACACCGATCATTCACTTGTACGTGCTGACATGCGGATGCGTTCTGGCGGACGCCCACGACGACGCTGTGAACGCATTGACACCAGCCAACTGACAAAGCCAGCTGTTCTGTATGCGTATCGAAGTACGCTGACATGCGAGTTGAGTAAGCGCTCACCGGGGACAATTGATGGTCAATGGTCACATGTTCACCAGACCTTACTAGCAGCAGGCAAATCCTCATGTGGTATGTCTAATAGCCAACATGGTTATTGGATCTCTTCGCAGTCTCTGGAAATTGTCGATGCTCGCCGGCATATTCCGGCTGGAAGCGAACACAATGAAACTCGCAAAGAGCTCCGGGCAAGACTGCGTGCTAGCGTGAAGAGAGACCGCGAGTCTTGGTGCGTCAGAGATGGAAGTGGCCGCTGCCCTTGGCAACCATCGCAAGTAATTCCGTCTGATACGGGAAACGGGCAGCAGGAGACCTGGTGTTAGTGAAACTATACGTGATGAGAGTGGACAGCCTATCCACAATTTGTCAAAACGTTTGGAGCGTTGGGCTGAGCATTTTGTAAAACAACTGAATCGGCTAGAATTGTTCGATTCTTCGCCGGCCAGTTATCACCCTGCTCCGTGGGCTGTCCTTTTGAATCCACCCTCTCACTCAGAAGTCGAACGTGAGATCGGACTGTTGAAATTGAACAAAGGAGGGGGAGCGGATGATCTTCCTCTAGCACTCTTCAATTTCGGAGGCTCTGCTCTTGTTGATGCTTTACATGAATTACTAGTGAAACTGTGGGAGCAGAAGACTGTCCCAACTGACTGGAGCCGCTCCGTTATTGTTCCCATCTTCAAAGGAGGCTCGCGTTTGGAATGCGGCAACCATAGAGGAATCAGTCTGATCTCCATCGCCTCCATAATTCTTCACAGACTGACTGGTGCTCGTGAAAGCCAGATACGTGAGGAGCAAGCCAGGTTTCGTCGAGGTCGTGGCTGCATCGACCACATCTTCACCTTGCGTCAGTTGTTGGAGCACCGTCACACATATTGGCGGCCCACCGTATTCATGTTCCTCGACATTAAAGATGCCTTCGATTCGGTTGATCGATGTGCCCTTTGGAATTGTTTACTCAGGAAAGGTGTGCCAGAAAAATATGTAAATATTATCCAAGCATTATATGCGCGTAGCACGGGCAGAGTGAGGGCTTACAGCAAGCTGTCGTCGCCCTTTACTATCTCCAGTGGTGTGAGACAAGGATGCCAGCTGTCACCTTTCCTATTCAACTTCGCTATTAAAGAAGTCATGGAGATTGCATTTAAAGGACATGAATTGGAAGGTGCGGAGCTACTCCCAGGAGAACGACTTAGAGTATGCAGACGACATTGCCCTCATCTGTGACATCTCCCAGACGTGCCAAGCCGCGCCGGACAGATTAGCACTAGCTGTCAGTCGCTTCGGGCTTTGCTTCGCACCGCCGAAGTGCAAAGCGTTCCTCCAAGATTGGCAGGGATCACCCCCTGTGCTGACCCTTGGTGGGGATCAGCTAGAAGTCGTTCAGAAATTCAATTACCTGGGAAGTTATATCAGCGCCCTTGGGATCGAAGACGAGATCACGAACCGCATAGCGAAAGCTCGAAGTGCTTTTGCTAATCTTCGCCACCTGTGGCGGGGGCGCGACATTACTCTTGCCCTGAAGGGTAGAGTGTACAATGCAGCGGTACGTTCGACCCTACTGTACGGTTGCGAAACCTGGCCCATAAGATCGGCGGACATAGAGGCTAGTTACGTTCGATCATCGGTGCCTTCGCAGTTTCGCTCACATCTGGTGGGAACACCGCGTGAGTAACGAGCGTGTTCGACGCCTTGTTTACGGCACAGGAAAAGGAAATAAACCGCTCAGCACCGTCATTTCACGCACCAGGCTCCGATGGCTGGGCCACGTGTTGCGCATGCCAGCCCATTGACTTGCACGACGTGCGTTGTTTGCTCACCGGGGATGTGGATGGAAGAAGAGGAGGGGTGGCCAAGCGATGACTTGGTCCAGGGGAATGAAGTCCCTCTCTTCGGAGCTAGCTTGGTTGGAGCTTCACGGCTCCCTGGTTAGGGTCCAAAAGACGGTGAACACGTTTGGCTGGATACACTTGCTGACATGGCAAGGAGCCGACCTCAGTGGCGTTCCTGCTGTGAGTTTCTTTGTCCCCC